GGAATGTTGGAATACTTGCATTCAAGAAACATTATCTTGTTTAAAAAATGAATCCAGATTTTGTAAGATAGGAATATAATTAAGACAATCATATACATTGATTTTCAGTTTTCAATTTTTGATTGTATTTCATGTTTTCTTTGTCTGCGCATAGGCAGGTCTATTTTCTCACGTGTTTTTCATGACTGGGTCTGTCTGACTAGAACAGACCTGTGCACGTGCAAGAGATAGACCTCCTAACGGACTTTCTTTTGTTTAAACAGGTCTACCCGAAAAATATAGACCTTTCACAAACAATAGAGGAGGTGTGTAATTACTGTTAACTACATTGAAAATGAGAGCCATGGGTTCAATCTTCAGAAGGGTCAACTTTTTTTTTCTTTCTTTTTTTCTTTTAACATTATTTATGTATCTCTCATGTCCCATATGGAAAGAAAAAAGTGTTTAATTTTGAATTTTGAATTTATATAGGTATTTATTGGCTAAATTATGCTTAATCTAGTAATAAATATGGTACCTGATATTTTCAAAGTGTAATATAATCAAAACTAGACGGTAAAAGTATTTCATATTTTGCAAGATCAACCAATATACTTTTTTCAAAATTTAGGGAAACTTTGATTGTTTGGCACTCATTTGGGTAAATTTTAAGATTTATTTGAATTAGGCTCTCTAAGTAGATAAATGGTCAGACATGCAGTAAAAATTGGTGAGGTAGGGTAACATTTTTATACAGATTTCATAAATTTTAAGTAGAAACCATAATTTTGCTTATGTGGATTGTTAGCTGAATGGTACTATTTGTTTCTTACCAAAAATTCATGGGAAAACATTTTTCATTAGAATGTTATTGCAGATTATTTAAAGGTTCCTCATTTCTAATAAAGGGCCCTCATAACATCCTAGCTTGAGTTCAGAAAAGTGGCCATAACTTGATTTCCGTATGGTAAACTTTGTTTAAATTTTGCATACAGGTGTACTTTAAGGTATACATCTGACCTATGATGTCAATTCTTTAGTTCCTGATAGTGCCCATTAGGGTCCTAATACCTTAATATCCTTTGCTGTTTCATTCCTTCCCGAACTTGACATATCGTTGTTTATTGGCGATTTGAAACCTTTCGGCAAAGGAATAACTCGACTATTTCTTTACCTATGACAAAATAAGTAACTTACGCTGCATATATATTTCATTAAATTATATGTTTCAACTAAATTTGTGAAAGGACTAGAGTTTTTGATTAGGCCGTCTCTTACAATAAAAAATAATGGCATTAAATCAAGACGTGAATAACACGGTTCAGATTTAACATGGAATAATAATTTTCAGATAAAAAAACGCGATAAAACAGGGCGATATATATTTTTTCCGTCCATAAAATGTTATAATGATCACATTTTAAAGTAGTTGTCAAACTTGTTTGCATGCATATTTTACTTTAGTCCTATCAAATTATTTTGGGACATCAAAAGTGTATTGATTTTTGTTGAAATTTAAAGATTGAAATATCGGTAAGATTTATTTTTAACAAACTAATTTCTGGTCGAACTTAATCTGATACGGAAATTGAATCATTTCTCAGATAAAAATTTATTTCTTCGTTCCATTTTGATTAATTTATGTTGAAATGCTAAATGCAGCCAATAGATTCAGTTTATTGATTACAGTTAGAAGTGATATTTTCCTAACTCTCCTAACGATATAACTATTTCAGGGTATCGATCTACGTGATATAAATTTATATATATTTATTTTCCATATAGACGCAATACAGATAAAATACTTCGGCGTAACCACTCCATAAATCACAAGTTTATCTACTAATTTAGATTAGTTTTTACCCCTTTTTAAACAGTTTGTATTGTGTAGGGATAAAGTAATGATAAGCTGTATTAAATCTTTAAAAAAATCTTTAATAGAGACTGATAACATGCGCTTGCTTGGACACATATTTGTCAGTTCTCTTTTTTGAATATTTTAAATGTTTGTTTTTTCTCTTTAGAATAGAGTAAATAAAAGTTAACTTCCGGCACAAGTAAACAGTTTCATCTTTTCCTGTCATGTTATAAGTGTGAATACAGTTTTGTCTCCACTTCCGGAATATTATCTTTAATTTTTAATTATTGATTGATATAATTAAATAATATAAGAAACTGCGGTAAGTACATATAGTTGGAAATTATGAAAGTTGTGAAATGTAAAGCAGAAGGAGTAGCTTACGTGTAGCTAAAAAATGTATATTTAACATAAGAATATGATGTATTCTATGAACATAAAAATATATTGGTTTTTGTATACTATCTATTTAGAGTATACCGGTACGAAACCTTGGAATACAGATACACAAATTTACTATAGATGATCCAAAAATGCTTGAAATAACGTCTTATTTTCAACGATATCTATGAACAAAAATCATTTTACAAATACTATATTTGGAGCGTCGTTCGATATGTAATGTGTATTGAACTACATCCCGATAACGCTTTGCATCCTGAAAAATATTTATTCAATACCTTTCAAATGTATACACACGAGCCTTCAGAGAATATTGAAGAAATAAATGCTGAATACTAATGTGAAATTCTGACTGACACGGGGTCCGTAAAATATACTGTAAAATCCGGCAGACGCATGACTGTAACATTATAGACAAAAGCCAGTGAAGTCATTTAAAGTGATGGCAGTTACACGTCAAGCTGTTGGAGTATTGTTATCGCTACGATTAAATAATTTGAATTTTAAATATGTTAACATATATAACACATATATAACATAGTCGAATAAGACATCATGAAACATAACCAGACTTAAAAACGAAGAACGTGGATTTTCAATCATTACTCACCTCTTGCAAACCAGACTTAAATATATTTATTGATTTGTCAATTTTCTACAAGTATATGAAAATCATTTTATGTTTTTTTCTTGAAAGTTTATAATACTTTTATGCAATAACTTAAAGATGGAATAAATCACAATGTTCCGTGTTATAATTTAATGTTATATGTACTTTCTTAGTGGAATACCTCCAATAATATATGATATATGCACAGGTTATTCTGACGTTAACAAATAGATATTAAACAGTTGGAAAGCCACAATGATATCTCTTGGAAATCTAAAATGTATTTGTCCAATTTTCTTTCATTACAAAATTTCTAAAAACAGTTTCGTTTTACACTAACCAATAGAATCTTAACATCTTTGTTTCTTAAATAACAAAATGATTATTCAGGTTTCATTTCATTACTGACATAAGAAAGTTACGCTGTTTTATATTGATACGTAGATAAAACAATCTTAACATAGCAACATGGAATATTTTAAAACCTTCATCACCTGGACATTTTATAAGTCATAAGGTTTAACAATTAACAGACAGCTTTATTGACATTATCACCTCAATATGATAAAACCTTTAGCACAATTGATTGGACAAAAAGAAAAAGCAACATTTAATTATCCGGTTACATAATTATTAATTTGACATATGTTATTTAAACATTAAATAATTGTTCCGTTAACATATTTTAAATTTCCCATTTTGTTGAACATAAAGTCTTTTAGATAATATCAACAATTTTAAAAGTAAATAGCGTCCATGTTTATTTATTATTCCTTCGTAAAAGAATTTCTCTGTGTGTCGGCTGAACAACAATACACTATGTTCCTTTAATGCCGACAAATTTAAATGACAAATTGCAATCCTGATTGATTCTGGTCAAGCTCTGAGTATTGTTGTTGATTTTCTTGTTTGTTTGTTGTTTATTTTTTACTTCACGAATGGCTGGCGCCGCGTGACAAGAAGACAAAAGCCGCACGTACTGTTACAATCACCGTTTAGAAAAATATTCAATAAGTTAGCGATATGAATAAAATTCTGGACACTTTTTACAGCTGCCACACAGCACTTGACACCCGATGTTGTGAAGTGTAAAAATCTGTACGAAGTGTGGTCCCTCGGAAGCATTATTTATCACAACATTTTCATGAAAGTTGCCAACTCAGATTAAGTTAGGACATAAACGATACTGTAAAAGAGCAACATCCGAACGTCCCTGGGACCGGGTGGAGCGGTTCTCAATTTTCAACACCTAAAAGTGTTGGAATCAACGATCACGAAAGACTAGATGTTAAGAGACTGAATGAAGTAAGGGTAACATTTTTACAGTTTCTATACAGCATTTGGCTTCATCGGTACTAAATTTTCTAGTCTACTAAGTGTTGTAATTAATGATCCTGAAAGATAAAAAAACTATCATCATTGGATGAAGTACGGGCAACTTTAAAAAGCTGTCACACAGTGTTTGATACCATTTGTTGTGAAATGTAAAAATGTAGACAAAATGTGATCCATCAAAACAAAAAACAAACAAAAAACAAGAAAATTGCAGACTAGGTTTGAGTCTTTACATGGCGTACTGAACACAAAACACCAAATTTATAGCTGTTAAGCCTGCTAGAGGGTAAAATTAGTTAAACATCTCAACGCAGAAATGTCACCTTGGAAAAAATGTTCAAAGAGTTTCAATAAATATTTGCAATAAATACAGTTTTAGATAACGTTTCCTTTCAATCAAGTATAACTTACGCGACAGCCACATTTACGTGTACATTAATAATCTATTTTCGTACCAGAATCGCAACTGATACGATTTTGTTTATATTATAAACAATTAGTACCATCTTTTATTTCCATTATTGACGTACCGTTACGTGCCTACAGTATCAGTTTGCCCAGTTACATTTCTAATGTCTTTTAGCAAGCATGTAAACTTCTGACAAAACCTCTTTTGGTAAATTGAAGTTATTTTGTTCAAGAACAATAAAAAATGATAACGAAATCTACCTATCTATGCAACTAGATTTGCATTCTGTTTAAGTATGCCACTTGTTCGTAAAAAATGATAAACAGATTTAAACAAGACTGTAGAGACTGCGAGATAAGGTTATCACAATGTCAATAAAGACCCCGATGAGTTTAACATTAATAAAGAAGTTGTCAAACAGCATTCAGTGTTTACTCCATTTAAAAGCAAATCTGCAAAAATCGGAAATATTTTGGGATTTTAATTTGAGATCAAAGTTCGAATGATAAAGGTAATATTTCGTCAATTTATATAATTAAAATTATAAACAGACTGATTTTCCTTTAGGCATGCTGTTTCAGAAATATACTTTGTTTTCAATTTAAAGAAGTTCTGTTTAAGAACTTTATTTCAACTAAAATGCAATGCAGGACAGAAAAATAACATTAAAAGAAGTATATTTTAATCATCCTTTGTAACCAAGGGGCACCTGTTACGTCAACTTCATTTGCAGTCCTTGGATATTTTTTTGTCACAAATAATTGATACGATGAAATCATAGTACTGTTCTTCCTAAAATTGAAAATAACAGTCTTCATTAAAGGAAATCAAGCCGTTTTAACGGTATCGACGTAGAGACAGTTAAATAATTTTTACAGGACATACTTGGTTTTTTTTAATGGAGAGAACAAACGCGTATGTTACTAGGGACTTTGTATGTAGCTTAACCGTGTTCAACAAACTGTAAAAGTATCGTCACTGACATTTTCAAAATACTTGGAATTTTTTTTTTTTTTTCTTTACTCTTGACTTTATTGAGTAGGACATTATGTCATTGCTGTTCAAGAATTGCGAAACTTTTTCAGCCAATTGTATTCACGGCTGATGAATGTAAAGTTAATGGAATTTGCGCCCTTGGGTTCTGGTGATACCTTTTTTAGTAAATTAGCCAAAAGCAAGCATTAAAGGAAAGTTGTTAAAGCTTCTTGAAAAATATAAATCGCTAACTTATTGAAGTTTATGCAGCCATGATTATTGTATTTGCCACATGAGTAAAGGTACTCCTTTCAACATTCATCTGAAACGTGCATACATTCTTGATAAGAACGACGTTATTTCGGATCAAACTCGGATGTTATCAAGATTTTTTCTTTTGTGTAGTATTTTTGCATGTGATACATGCATTAAATGTAAAAAGGTATGTACTAAATTTATTTTTATTGTTGTTATTATTATTTAAATAAAATATCCATGATTTATCTATCTTCAGAGACAATCACATATCATCCTGATCAGACAAATGGGAATTTAAACAAATGAGATGGAACCATCGGTAATATTTATCATAATTTTTGTATTTACATTTCTTTATAGATTACGCATACTATATAGTTACAAAATAATTGTTAATGCTTATTTTTACTTTATTGATATGCTTGTTTTGCTGATTTTTGAGTTATCCAAACGGAATGTCATGGTATTTTCAAGTAAAAAAAGCGGACAAAGTTGCATAAAATGAAATATCAAATCGAATTTTGAAATTCATTCATAGAAAAGCATTCCTCTAAAACTATTCTAATCATTGTTACAGAAGAGCTGTGATGTCACTAGAGGGCACGAACACTACCTTTGTCATTTATTATTACTGGAACAAGCTTCGCCAATCGCATTGAAGGCCATAATTAAAAGGGAAGAGAAAAAATGTGGAAAAAATATTGGTATTTTGCTAAATGAGAATAGAGATGCGTTTAAAACCCAGTACGAAACAGAGTTTCTTCAATTAATTCAAGAAGATAATGTCAATGACAACATTGATACATGGGACACACTTCAATTATGTGCTGTGACATTAGTTTTGTTTAAATCTGATCTAACTGAACCAGAAATTAAAGCCGTTCAATGTATATATGATCAGAGGAAAGATATTGAACAATACACCGAATGTGCCTCCCTAACATTCAATACCTACAACGAGAAACAACATTTATTGTACGATCAATTACTCAAGTTGATAACGCTCATAGACGACCAAGCTAATCTTGATTGTAAACGTTTGATGTTTAACGTTTGATGTTTTCATTTGAATCCAAATCAATGAAATTAAGCGAAACACAGATAGACATACTTACACAGACAAATGATATCAAAATTCATCTTATAATTGCAATTAATGTCGTAACAGAGAATGACATCATTTGCGAAGAGAACCACCAAAAGCTCCAGACCAATGGTAAGTATTTGTGTTACAGTATGGATTTTAATTTATTCATATGGTTATCTTGTATCCCAATACATTACTTTATGAACATGTTTGTATTCAAGTTTTCAAATAGCATAAATCCTTAGCTATAGCGATATAATTGATTTAGATAGCCAGGATCGAATATTAAATTAATTGAGCATTCACGTGTGTATAGTCTAAATTTGTATTCAGCATGAGTCAAATAACTTAACTGTCCTTGCCTTACAAGTTGTAAGAGGACTTAAAACGTTAATATTTCTTTATTTTAAAATTGGAATGATGATATCAAACAGTCGTGAACATAAAATAAGCCGTGTTTCATTTGTAAACCAAATCACACACACATTTATCCGTTATGATCTACAATGATCTATGAAATCTGATCCTATGCTAACCAGAAAATTCTTCTCATGGATTTCGACAATGTGCCTATACGGAATTACGATGGTATCCTTCATCTTCATGTTTCACTGATTAAATTTGTTAAATAATCCTTTTTGCATGCTTAAATCGTATGTTTGTTTTGACACATATTAAATCACATGCAATAACTTCCGAAGAAAACGAATTCGTATTTCTAACTATTCAATAATTCAACGAAAAGACAATTAAGACGCGAACTAATTTAATTTCAAGGTGCAACAATTAGAATTTCTGTCTTGCAATAGTCTATTTAGTAATGGCCCTTCGTGGTTAACATTGAAAAATAAGGGAACGAATGCCGGCCATTTTTGTTTTAGAAAATAAAACACGTTACCAAATTTTATACTGTTTAAAGTACTTTTACTTATGTAACGGTACAAGTTTCTTTACCTTGTGCTACACTTGAATTAATAGTATAAATAACTCCTATAGGCCTATGGTAAATTAACATTAACAAAAAGTGAGGGTTGAAATATACAAAATCTTTATATAGCTGAATTATAATCTTATAAACAAAATAAAATTTACTTCAGGCCAATTGTTCACTGAAGAACTTCAAAACAAACATGTACACATCAATGATTCAGTTATTTTGACATGTAAACTCAACCTTCCAACAGAAGAAAATGTTGAGTGGAGGAAAGATTACAAGCCGGTTGAAATTTCAAACAATTTAATGGTCATGAGCAAGAATGGAAATCATTGGTTAGCGATTTCCCGTGCATCATTAGAAGATACGGGTCAATATACGTGTGAATATGGCCATATTTCAACATCAGCTGATCTTAGTGTTATAGGTATGCTTTTATCGAATAATAGCATTAAAGACTTGTATTCTTGTTCAATGCTTAGAAGCAGATAAAGAGATACTCATACCTTACCATGGCATTTACTATTTATAACCTTCAAAGCTGTCTATCTAGTAAGTAAAACTAGTATATGGAAATTTTAATTTTAGATAAAGCTTAAACTTAAGTTTGATTGACAACTAACGACATTATAATTTGCTACTAAAAAGTAATTTATCTGAACAGCAATAATCAAAATGTCAATTGACTAAGTGAAATGTAAATATATAATATCATACATGGGCGCTTATTAAGAACAGTCTATTCCATAACCGAATAACAATTGTTACTTTGGTTACAAGGATTAGGAAGCGTAAATATTTGTACATTCACGAAAAAGATCCTGCTAGGAAAACTTTGTTATGACAACATTATTTTGGATTTCTTTGAGTACATCACTGCGAACGACAAAACTTTTGCTTCAAAGTTAGCAGAAACCATTTTAACGTATGATTTATTTTCAATACAAATATGTGTGTATTTTTTGCATATGCAATCGCAATATTAGATTTAATATCGAATTACAAAATTAAGTATGATTTGTTAATTTATCATTATCCCTATCTTTTGTAACAGATGAAGCATTAATTGTGGTCGTTCATTTCCCAATCAAGATTGAGGTTATTGAAAATGGAAACATTGATATAGAGTGTAAGGTGAATCTACCCACGAGTAAACCTGTTTGGCAACACGAAGGGAATCTTCTTCAATCATCTGGTAGAAAGGTTATACAAGCAAAGGGTACTACACACAAATTGATGATCACGAATATAACATTAGACGACGAGGGTGAATATACAGTTAACTTTGGGAATGTCTCATCTAAAACAACAGTTCAAATACAAGGTAAACATATATGAATGTTATCTTCGTTTTTGTAATATTGACACTTTTTATATACATGTAGTTGGTTTTAATATATCATAAAAGTCGTTAATTTATTCAATTGATTTGGGTTATAGCCGGTTAATCTAAAAAGCAAACAATGCATTTAATTTCATACCGATTTGCCAAATACCAGAAAATCATTGGTGCAATTTTCTTCAATTTATTTTAGTGGAAACAGACCTTATCCACAGAAAACAGATAACACAAGAATTGTACAGAAATTGGATGAGAGGAGCTCTAGCGTTAAGATATTTAAAAATAGGTTTAGAAGGTTTTTCCGACAAGGCTGTTCAGAAACAACATAATGATCTAATGAAAACACTTGGAAACTCCTGCAGCACTTGTACAGAGGAAAGTCTTCTCCCACATACACAAGATCAGTGCCCATATCGAATAAAACATAAATGTTTATGTAACAAAGGTCAGAAACAGAAGTTAAGACAAGTGTGTCCAAACGGGGGATTTTGTGGCAACGTTTATAATCAAATAGTTTATAAACATCGCTTTCAAGATCCATTATTCACAAATACAGACATCCAAAAATGGAGCAGTGATCCTTGGAGTGTTGCTACATGCTTTATATATACTACTGGCTACAAAGGCAAACAATCAGCTAAAGAGGTCGACTGCTCCGGTTTACTTAGTATGTGTATGAACAACATTGATATAGAAATAATGCTTGGAGAAGTTTACATCGATGGGTGTACAGATGCTTTTGCAAAGGTACACATCTTCACCTCAGTAATCACTTATTGTTGTATGTTATTTCAATTGAACATTTTATATACATGTATATTTTAGCCTTTATTATGCAAGTCTAGAACAGTCTTTTCGAATTGGTTTTACAATTGATTAATTTATAAGTGTAGTATTTTAGCAACAAATTAAAATGAGACTTAAGATACTTAAGTGTTACTTTTCAGGCATGGGAAGCAAGGAATGATATTCTTCACAGTCCAAACTATCAACTATCTGAAAATCAACTAAACACGTTTATCAGAATGTTCAAAGAAGTACTAGAAATCAAAGACAAACATGGTAATACACCTTTGAAAGGGGAGCCAGGAGTAGAAGAAGCATTACGTTTACTAGATATGGTAATACTCCTACTGGAATATTTAGTATAACGTTTAAGGAAGTACTAGAAATCAAAGACAAACATGGCAATACACCCCTGAAAGGGAAACCTGGCGTTGCACACGCATAACATTTGCTAGATATAGTTATAAACCTATAACAGTTATGTAGTAATTATAAAAACAAGATATTATTAAGCCGATTTGGGATAATTTTTATTGGTTCTTTATTAGCATTTTTGTGGATAAAATCGTATTTCTCTATAAATAATGATAAATTAATCAAATTTGTAATATTTGTTGCACATTATACTTTAGCAAATTCTTACTACTTATTATTTTGTAACAGAGGTATGATATAAATATTACGTTCAGGTCCTTTTGCATAAGTGTTAAAACATTTTATTGCCTATGTTTGTAAGTGCATTATTGTCTTAAATAATAAGTACAATATCTTTGTCTGCTGTAACATTATAATGAATCACTCTGTATCCTTTTGCGAACGTGAGCTCGTTACATTTTTAGCTTTTCACACATATACACAGACAATTATTTGAGTATTAACAAGATTGCAACAATACAGAATGAAAAATGATCAACAAAGCTTATTACATGTAAATAGTTCGGCAGTTTATTGTAAAACAAGATTGCATGTGTGCCTTTTGAAGAAAAAGGGGGATATAGAAATAGGCTCCGTTCGTCCGTCCGTCTCATTTCCGTGTCTGGTCCATAACTATGTCATTTATCACAGGAATTTGAAATTACTTGGCCCAAATATTTGTTATAATAAGACAATTTGTCATGCACAACAACCGGACCCCTTCCTCCAAGGTCAAGGTCACACTTGTAAATTAAAGGCCAACATTGTCTTTTCGAGGGCATATGTCGTGTCCTGTCCATTTCTTTCTTATAAATGAAGGGATTTTGAAAGTTCTTGGCTCAAATGTTAACAATAATGAGACAATGTGTCATGCGCTAAAACCAGTTGCCTACGTATAACCCCAAGGTCAATGTCAGCTAGAGGTCAAATATTGACATTACTATATATCTGTTACAGGGTATATTTTGTGTTCGGTCCAGAACTTCTTTACATATCAAAGGAATTTGAAATTATTTTGGCACAAATGTTCACAATAATAAAAAAATGTGTAAAGCGCTAAAAGCAGTCGCCTACCTCCAAGGTCAAGGAAACAGTTGGAGGTCAAAGATTTCCATTGTCTGTTATAGTGTATTTTTTGTTTCCAGTGCATAATTTCTCATCCATTTTAAAAATACTTGGCATACATGTTTACAATGATAAGACGATGTGACATGCACAGCAATCGGACCCTTTTCTCCAAGGTCAAGGCCATACTTAGAAGTCAAGCTTAACATGGTCTCTTAAATGGTGTAATTTGTACGCAGTCCATATTTTTATTGTTTAACGGATTTTAAAATAAATTTGGCAAAAATGTTCACAATAATGGGGTCATGTATCATATGCAACAGCCAGACTCCTACCTTTAATGTAAAGGTCACACTTGAGTGCCAAAGCTTAACATGGTCTACAGGGTGTGTATTGTGTGCGGTATATGACTTTTCATCAACTAAGGAAATTTAGAATAACTTGGTACAAATTTTAGCAATAATAAGCCGACATATCATGCGCAACACCTAGACGCCTACCTCAAAGGTCAGTGTCACACTTGGAGGTCAAAGCATAAAATAGTCTGCACATGGTATGATGCCAAGACAGGGCCATGCAAGTAAAATGCCATTGGTGAATTGCCCACATACCTTGATTGATGACTGAACATGAATTTGTATTTGTCACATTTTGTGGCTTTGAAATATTGATAACAAGTATACAAATGTATTTCTGTTGTCGCATACACACGAACTATTTCATTATATTTCTTTAATGAATTTATTGTTACTGACATAAGCAGATCTATCATTGATCAACATTTTCCACCGAAAGTCCTGATCTATACCTCAATCTTTTGAAATAGCACCTTTTGTGTTTTATGAAAAATTCCCTTTGGCGGGGGCCGTTGGTAACTTTGTTACAAATTCTTGTTCAAACAAACTTGATAAAGGTCTAACAGACTATGTTTCATGTCAAATATCTAAGCTCTAGCTTTCTCCTTTTCAAAAACATTTGTTTTAGTTTCTGTTTTTTTACTATATGTACAAAATGAAAATCAATGACCCCGGGGCGCGGCAAATTTTGGCCCCAGGGCTATAATTTGGCAGCCCGTTCTCCAAGGAACAATCCTGCCAAGTTTGGTTGAAATTGGACTAGTGGTTTTATTAGTTTACTATATAACAACAACGCACACACGCACTCGCGCGCGCACGCACGCACTCACGCACACACGCACACACACACACACACGTTAATCGCTATATTCCAAAGCCTTGCAGATACTGCAGCGGCAATAAAGTTTAACCTGATAAATCTTAAGTTCATTTAGACCTATCCATGTATTACTTTCCTTGCTTTCAAGTGGTCATTTGTTTCTTATAAAAATGTGCCAAATATGCATTCACTCATTCTTGTGTTCACATGAAAGTTTTTCAAAACAGTTTACGGACCGGAGTCCTATCATAATTTCTTTTACAGGTGCAACAAAATAAGATTGAGTTTAACCTTGAACAGGAGATGAGAGAGCTGAGAGAGCATGGGATGTCTAGATTAGAAAAGGAATTCCAAACAGCAAAACAACAGGCAAATTTTATAGCTAATGCATTTGATGAGTATTGTTATAACATAGTTTTAGGACCTAGTAAGGCAATAGTAAAGTTAGGAAATATTAGTTCAAGTCTCATAAAAAGGTCTTTAAAAATACTGCGATTCTAAAGTTGCTATTCTATTTATTGTATACGAATCATTAATGAGTAAGAGATGGTGAAACAGATGTCTATTATTTGTCACTGTTACATGTTTCCCTGTTAATCATCATGCACGCTTGAATATATAGTCTCGTTTAGATTTCTTTAACATTACATTCGTTAGTTATGGAAAAGAATACAATTTTGAATGAAATAAAAGTGTCATTGCGTAAATATACTTTGTGGTCAGGTCTTACCTACTGTCTTCTATCCTAGGTAATTAAATGTAGTATTTAGACGGTGGTATCAGAACTATTCCAGTGTTCCGTTAGTATAATATTGGGTTTTAGAAAATAAGGAATTAAATGAATATTACCAAAATAGATATAATTAAAATTTAGTACCTTCTTCGTCATGTTTATGCATGATAATCGGATGGGTCGAATAATTTATATGATGCAACACTTAAAACTTTTTTCTTCAGCTCGAATTGAAACTTCAACTGATAGAGCAACAGATGAAAGGTTTGTCCTAGAATTTTAATTTGAACAAATAAGAGCTAATTCTTATACGAAAATTCTACTTGGTCAGTTGGCCATGATCTGAAATCAAAAATAAGTATTATCGAGATACATGTCACAGTGCAGTTAAAGATCCTGTATCCGTTTGAAAAGATTCCCTTAAATTGCAGTCATTGGGCCAATCACATCTTTAAGACCACATTGTTGGTCCTTTGTTGGGCCAGTTTCACTTTTTTCTTCATCATCGTTGGCCCTTCGATGGCCCAACTACACAATTTTAATCATTCATTGGACCAACCACATAAATTTAAGTCATTGCGGCCAACATCATAATTGTTATCATCATCATTGGCCTTTTGTTGGATCAGCCATACAAATTTGATCAGCTATGCTTGACCAAAATATGGGCCAAAAACATAAGTCTCATCAAAATCATTTGGCCAAGGTGTAATATCACTATTAGCTTTAGGCCTGACAAACTGAAAAATAATGTCTTTCTGAATAATGCCTTTTTACTGTTTGACACTGTGTTTGTCCTAAAATAAACCAATTACCTATTTAACATTGTTTAACTTTCATTTAATGCAGAATATTTTAAAGCAAAAAACATGGAATATCTTACTACAATTTAATATTAAAACAGATAGGAGTAAACAGTGAAATAAATTGGGATAAAAACACTATCATTTATGTCAAAATTTAGCAAGAAAGTAGTTTGTTTTATATTTAAAGCAGCTTCTGTTATCTATAATTTATAAAGACCATTAGTTACTTTTGTGAAAAATGAAATAATAAAATAACAAGAAATATCTTTAAATAGATACTCGGCCGAAGTCAAATTTGTTAACTTCCATAGGATAAGCTACTACTAACCACGCTAACCGCAAACATACATTTTATTCGTCCTCAATAGTTTTATTTCAGTTCATTTTTACCTTTTACATTATTTGATTTTAATGAAAATGGAATTTGATTTGAATAGGAATTTATAATAAAACAAAGATTTTAGTAGATACTGTACACTAATTCCACAGATCATTTTGTAACTGTAAATAAGTCGAAAGTTTGTTTCAATCGTCTTATGCACGGTTCGAGGAAAGAGAATAATGTCTTGAACAGCTTATACGAGAAACCCAATCGAACGCAAATGTATCAAAAAGGCGATCTGTCATATTTAACTTCATATTTTTATTGAAAAGCTGTTAGAAACATCTAGAAAATATCATTATTGTGTTTTTTTATTTATTCTGACATATATCTTTTTACAACACTTCTTGCCATCGTGCAATCGAACAGACCTCTGCCTATAACGGAAGCTCTTCTAAAGTGACCGATAAAAATTCTGCCTATATTCATTTCTTTACTGTTAACTTTAGCGGAAGTCAAGGTGAAATCAGACGGCCTTCGGCCGAAAAAGACCACATGTAGATTTATATTAGACGTGAATTTATACATAGTTTGTCCAACGTTGGTCCAACAACATCTTTTAAATTTTCATTTATCTGTGTTGGCCCAATGAAGAGAAAATTGTACAGTAGTTGGTTCGGCAATGACCCAATAAGTGTATGCACAATACTGAATCAAAGCACTGCATGTACGGATGGGGAGGCTATGAAAGAATGTTTCAGACTTTCTTTTTCAGTTTCTTTTCTTTTTGCTTAAAAGGTGTTGTAATTTCAATAATTACCAAAAAAAGATGATCTGTCCATTGCGCCATTTATTCTTACGGTGTGTTTATACATCCATTCATTTGGTTAATATGGTGAACTAATTATTGTGTTAATATTCCAGAACTCTTCATTAAGGTCTACATTTCGACTGTTAATCATGGAAATTTTGAAGACTTAAACTTTTAATTGACATGCCAGCAAGTATGGCGACTGTTCATACCATTTTACAACTGACGGTTCCTTATCACAATACTCTAGGACCGTTCATCATGCCGGCATAAATACTTTTTGTGATTTATCATTGAATGAAAATAACAACTGCAAGTTATGAAACCTTTTTTATTGAACATAAAGATAAAATATATTTACATATAACATAATAAAGATACTGTATTGTGATTAGTATTAATATTCATGCTCTACGGACAGAAAGTTGTCTTCTCTCAAGCAAACCTCGAATAAAATCATGGAGATATTATTTATATTTCAGAAGAAAATTATTACCATTTCATTACTAGTCGCTGACTTTGACGGCTTCAGATAATTATTAAAGCTAAATATTTCTTGAAAACAAAATACATATCTGCAAAGCTTATTCAAAATGAATCAGTTTCAGTGAAAAAAATGATCAGGAAGTTTATATATATGGTTGGTGGTTGTGTTGGTAGTTTTCACCCCGGATCACGATAGTAAGCCACATTGAATTCACCAGAGCACAATTCAACCACCGCATCGTTCCTGGGGAGGCTGTGAAGAAGTTTACCAGAGTACTAGTTGCATTCACTTTCACAAGGAACTGAAACTTCTGTACATACCAGAGCAGAGGTACAGTGAGAATGACCGTAGAAAGAATTTCATGATCAATCACACGATAGTGACCTGCGCCGTCTGGGAAATTGAACCCAGGTCGCCCGATTCACAGTCCAACTTTACCTATTGAGCGGTTTTTGTTTGTTTTGTTTTTTCAAACAACTTACGTAGCGTTTAAACCTCACTAGCTTGAAAAAAGAACTGCGGGAAATCTGTTGTTGCTGTTATGACGTAGGCTTCTATGAATTGTATTATAAATAGCGTGTTTTGAAAGTTTTTGTTGAAATAAAATCTGTGGTAATTTTTCAAGTGTCGTAAAATGAATACGAAATTCTTTATGCCGCCGATTATTTTTATTACACAAATATATATGTTTTTTATTTTATTTATTCAAATTATTAACCGCTTAAGCGGCAAATATCGTTTTCAAATTAAAGATTCGTAAGATATGTTGATGAATTCCCAATGATCGATTGTAAGTCATTCGTATATACATGCGTTTTACTTTGTTTTGCTTCTTATTCTTTCATTTTTTTATCTGTATCGAAATTTTGAATTTTATTACACGTGGCCTTATCAAATTATGATGCGTTGTCCTAAAATTGGACAAACTTTCTAATTTCACATTACGTACGGGTCATTCATTTGATTGAAGACTGATCCTTGCCTCTTTCTCTGAAATAATTATTTCCTTGTTCTGGTTCGGTAAGAAATCATATTTGACCACATCTGACTTTCTGTCATTTAACTGTTCGCTACTCCCGATTTTTGTTATTGTAACGTTACCGAAACACATGTTTTTATTTGTGTTTTCTAATCAATTCGAAATTTATAATCAGTTTAATGAGATCACCGCCGGGTGAACGACTACTAGGTACTTTGCCCAAATATTAGAATGTTTCTATTGGGATTAAAATGACCATAGTTAACTTAACAACCGGTTGTATAGATCCCTGACCTGCCTAAAAAATGGTTCAATCATATAATGTTTGCAAACTATATGTTCATCATAATCAGTGAATTCTTTGATAAATGTATGCAAAATATTTACTTACAGCTATATGATATAGCGGTTTTGTGTGCGTTTCCGCGTACAGCCTCCCTGGGTGTACTAATATAGTTTCCATGTCTCTGATGTAATCGACAGTTTATCATTATTTGTCTTTTCTAAAAATAATATTAATGGTTTATAACAACAAAAGAACATTCATGATAGTGAGACTATGGTATTATCTTACAATAATCACAATAGGCCTTTCTCAAATTATATGCATACTTTACATTCCATCACCAGAGAGAGGCTAACAGGGCATGAATGTAAACAAATTATGTCTGACCTGATACGCCCTAGTGTGTTAAACTTACTGGGGAAATCTCATTTTTATTCCACTCTGTTATTCCAATTCTAGATATTATTATACCGTTAATTTTCATAAAATACCTAATGATGTGAGTTTAACAAAGGAATGGATTGTAAAAATATGATGGATGAAAGAACATTTCAAGGTAAAATACCATTGTCCTTTTTTTTTAGTTGTATTACTACTTACATTAATTACTCTGATTTCTCATTGTTTTAAATGTTTCATTTAATTATAAACATAATAATATGTTTTGTTCATAAATTTCATTTAAAATATCACACTTATAATAATAACATTTAAAACATTATTGCTTCAGAATCTAAATTAATACCGTTTTTATACTAAAAAGCAATAATGGTTATTTAATGTACTATTTCAGATCAATATTTTTGCAATAGTTGCTCGTTTTTGAAGCATTTCACACAATAAGATTAACAACCATGGACCTAAATTCATATATGTCTGAAGAGAATAGATGTACCCTGTAGATGGTTCGGCTGGAGTAATAATCAACAGACCAGTAAGATGAACACTAAAGAAGATTTAACATTAACACTGCCACCATACAACTGAAAGGTATACACACAAGACTTAATTTTCATTTTGTACACATAAACAAAGTTCAGCCCCTATAAAAATATATATGTGCAATTAAAATATCAATTGATATATTCTAGAAATGTCATAATTCTTGTTTTCACTTCTAAATAAAAGGTATATATTTTTCAGGAATTCCGCTGGTAACAGTCATGAACACAAATTGACAATTGGTATTTGAATCGCCTTTAATTGTATTATCTCTTCATGGCAGTGGCATTACAGATGAAAAGAAAACTATCAAACAGTTCAAAGAAGAATTACAGATAACTAAGGAAGAAAAACAAACAGTGATATTGAACGTTTGATACAAACAAATTTTCAAATGTTGACAGTTGTATATTTTGTAATGTTATACAGGATTTCCAACAAAACTTACTATATATCCATTACAGTTTTCAATAGCTAAAACATTAAGAGTGTTTATTATGATGCAAGCAAAACAATCTGCTTGACTGAGGAAATGATTTTAGCGTATTTTAAAGGACCATTTGT